TGTAGACTGGCCTCCTGTGACTCCTCCTGTGTAGACCTGGCCTCCTGTGACTCCTCCTGTGTGGCCTGGCCTCCTGTGACTCCTGTGTAGACTGGCCTCCTGTGACTCCTCCTGTGTAGACCTGTCCTCCTATGACTCCTGCTGTGTAGACCTGTCCCTCCTGTGACTCCTGCTGTGTAGACCTGTCCCTCCTGTGACTCCTGCTGTGTAGACCTGTCCCTCCTGTGACTCCTGCTGTGTAGACCTGTCCCTCCTGTGACTCCTGCTGTGTAGACCTGGCCTCCTGAGACTCCGGCTGTGTAGACCTGGCCTCCTGTGACTCCTGCTGTGTAGACTGGCCTCCTGTGAATCCTGCTGTGTAGACTGGCCTCCTGTGTTCCCAGGGCAGACCCGTGATCCTGTTCCTGTTCCTCTTCATCAGCTTCTTCTCTGTGCTCCCCCCTCACCTTTCCCCCCCCCTTGCAAGCGTGTTCTCCCTTCTGCTCCTTCCCATTCCTGTCTTTAGCAAGAGGATTCTCTTGACCCCTGCACACCCTCTGGTTACCATCACTATTAAAATAAAAAGCAGAAAACGCTTTTTGACCACACAGAGTCTTCTAGCAGAATTCAAACCAGCTGTCTGCCCTTTAGTTTTCTAACTGTGTGCTGCCTCTGTTTACAGTTTAGAAAAATAGGAAGGTGTTCATGCTCGCATGGACATCAACTGTGCATTGAGTGTGTTCAGCCAATTTCTTTTTTCATGGCAAAATTCTCCCAAGGAAGGAGTTGGCACAAGCAATTACATTCTAAAACATGCTATTACTAGACAATCGAGAAGTGAGAAAAGTTTGGGACATCAGCAGCCACGTGCAGTTGTCGGACTCAACCCATCTCTCCCCCGTTAAATCCTCCCAGCAGACATGGGGTAATGGCAAGTGGGTGCAGCGTCTCTCTGTGCTGGTTGTCTCCTCAACAGCGACTTTGGCTCTCCTGAGCCCCGCGATGAGCTCTCTCTTCAGTTTCTTTCCCCCTTCCCCGTGTCTCCTGACACTCAGCTTCCAGGGCGCATGTGTGTGAGCAGGGGTGTGAGCAGGGGTGTTCAGGCCCAGGTCCTCTTCTCTGCCCTGCTGTAGTGACCTCCCCTAGTCCCACGGAAGATCTGTAAGCAGACCCAGTTCCAGATTCCCAGCTATCTCCTGGCTGTATCCACACCCACACCCAGGGGACGTCCTTGCTCGTGGGTAGGTGTAAACAGAGCTTTAATATCGTCCTAGGCTCTCTTCTTCCCAGGACTGGGCCGTCCTCTTGTCAGTTCTCTTACGTTAGTGTCGCTAGCCAGCTAGTGCCCCGCCCAGTGTCTCCAGACCTTGGAGTCCTCCTCATTGTCCCCGCCACGTCCTCACTGGCCACACCTGATCTACCAGCAAGGCTTAGATATTGGAATTCTGGCAAGCAACTTCCAACCTCTTCCTTGAATCAACTACCTTACATCTAAGACCCCACCACCCACCAGAATATTCCTCTTTTGTTTCCCCTGGGACACATTGCACACCGTGCCTCCCTATGTGTGCTGAGTTATTATTTTATTTTGCTAACTTGACACAATTGGGGTCAATCTGGGAACAAGGGAACCTCAATTGTGAAAATACCATCAGATTGGTCTGTAGGCCAGTTGGGCAGTTTTTTTGATCAATGGTTAATATGGCATACCCATCCCACTGAGTGATGACACCCTTGCACAATTAGTCCTGAGTTGCATTAAAAAAAAAAAAAAGGCAAGCTGGGCACTGGAGAGATGGCCCAGTGGTTAAGAGCAGTGACTGTTCTTCTAGAGGACCCAGGTTCAATTCCCAGAACCCACATAGCAGCTTGCTGTTGTCTGTAACTCCAGTTCCAGGAGACCCAGGCTTAGGAAAGTTCAGCTGCCCCACCTGAGCCCAGTGTGGAGATGTCTCATCCAGCCAGTGCCATCCCTGACCCAGGAGCAGGCAGAGCCTTCCCTGACTAGACATGCATTTTTACCGTCGGTCCTCCCTGGTTTTCATTGTTCAGATGGTGTCAGGACCTGGGGAAGGGGCCTGACCACTGTGCTTCTGAGCTTTGACATGGTGTCATATAGTCCTTTGGAGGGTTTTGTGAAGGGAGTCTATTGCCTGGGCTTCCTGTACTTTGAGACCTTCCTTCAGAGCAGCAGTGCTAGGGAGTCACCGTGACGGAATCATCCTGTAACGGACGCCCTACATAGGTAATCTGTGAAGAGAAGGGACTTAATGGTGACCCACGGTTGGAAGGTTCCAGCCTCCCTGGTGGGTACGGCATGGCATGGTAGGAGGCTATGGTAGTGATACTGGTCACCTTTTGATGGACAACAGCAGGAGGAGAGAGAGAGGAGGGGCGTGCCTGTCAGAGACCTAGGCCCCGCCTCTTGCGGCGCCCCTCAACTGCAGGCTTGTAACACCTGAACTACTGGGCAATCGCCTAGTGGCTATTGTTAGTGCCTACTGTTCCTAGTTTGTGATTATGGAGTTGTTGAGAACTTTTATTACTTGTCTTGTTGGGGTACCCCGAATTGAGGAGGGGTCCCCAAACTGGATTTGTCACCCCAAGAATCAAGAGTCCACGCGCCAATTGATGCAACACTCAAGAGGCTTTAATTAGGCATCTGCAGATGGGCCTCTCAGTCAGCTTTTAGACCTATTGGCCCCGAGGTTCAGTTACAATCAGCTTTTAAAGACAAAAAACACAAGCCTTTGGGAGGGGTCCCTATCTTGTGACCGGGGGTACGTGACTACTGACCAGGGGAAGTAGATGTCTTCCTGACCTACACGTAAATTCCTCAAACCTTGGTATGAGTTAATCATCTCTCCCTAAGTAAATGGTGTTATCACCTCCTTGTTTCCCACAAATCTTGTTTGCCCATCTCTGACGCCCTGGTCAGTTCTTCACAGGTGGTCAGCAGCCCAGAATTTGGCCTTTTGTGGGTTTACAGCCCTTCTGCAATTAAGGTTGCTAAACCATACATTCCATTCTGTGCTTTGGCCAGTTCCTGGGATGGGGTCCTTTGTTCACTTCCCAAGTTCTCTAGTGGGGTGCCCTCCCTGTTTAAGCTTATATTTTATTTCTATAAATTCGGGGTCTTTCAGTCTGGGGCTGGTGTTTTGTAATCTTAGCACAGCAATTCTAGTCATGTCCCACCATAAGAAGCTGCCTGATTGGATGAAGCACACTCTCAGCTGTCGGGGAACAGAGCAGTAAGAGATTAGGTTCCTTTACAATGAAAAGGGAAGATGGCAAGGCCTGACTCAGAACTTAACCCCTCTGCCACCTAAAGGGGCCACTCGGGTGTGAATGTCTTTTTCCTCGTTAAGACGCGGACAGACCACCTACAGCCCTAGACAATACTGAGTGCTTGGTCTCTGGCATAGAAGTCCTTGTCAGAGGAGCCCTGGGGTGTAGCTTTTTCTGACCACGTGTGGGTTCCTTGGATGCTGCCGTGGCCATCGTCTTGGTTGTTATATCCCTGCCCAGTATCCGATCCTGACTCCATGCCTGTGTCTGGAGATGGCCCTGCCTGCTGTGAGAGTGGGAATGTGGACTCTGGACACGCTAAACCTGAGCACTGTCTGGGCAGTGTAGAGCAGGGTCTGGCAATGACACCAGCACTGCTGCCGTCACGAAGAGAAGACACAGAGGTGTCACGGCTGGTAGAGAAGACGAGGGCTGTGGTACCTGGGTACCGGGAACTGGCTCTGGACTAGGATTAGCTCATCATGGCACCCCTTACCCTGCCCATTTTCTGAACTGGCCCCCTCACTTTCTAAGGAATCTGTGAGGTGCCAAAAGTTTCTAGTGAAGTTCTCAATTGAATCAGCCGAAGTGTATCTCTGTTGCTTAGAACTACGGAGCGGAGTTCCACAGGGAAGCCGCGCTGTAGTCATTTGAGGGTCTTACTCATTTTCCCATTACGCGGGTGTCTCCACGAGTCTCAGAATCTAACACAAGGCAGGCATGGGTTGAGGGATGGTGAGACCTGGGCTCAGCGAGTCTCTCTTCACTGTGGCTCTGACCAGACTGCACTCTGCCTGAGGCAAGCAGCGTGGCCTCTGGAGGATGGAAGCAGCCTTCCCTTGTGGCCTCAGCACAGGAGGGTGCCCAGCTCTCGCGGGTGCTCGGGAGGGTTTGGATGAAGTTGCCTTTGCCCAGAGCTTGCCACAACCACCGCGGTTCTTGCCCTGACTTGCGAGTTGTAAATATGCACACTGTTTGCCTTGAACTAGTGTGTGTGTGTGTGTGTGATATGTTGTGTGTGTGGTACCTACATGTGAGTGCACAGGTTTACATACCCATGTTAGGCAGGATGGACAGGTTGGGTAGGTTGGGAACTATTCCTTGGGAGACATGCATCTGTTTCACCTCAGGGAGCCAATGATGGATAAAAGTGTTGATACCATCAAAGTCCACTAAGTTCCGGGTCGCTCACAGAAGCAGGGGTGATACAAAGGAAACCACTTCACCAAACTCCCACCCAGCATGGGTGATGACTCATGAAAGGTGCCCAAATTGCAGGCAGATCTGCAGGTTAGAGTCTCTCCAGGCAGCTCGGCTTATCTGGGCTTCCTCAGAAGTCTTTAGTGCATAGAGAGCCCTGGGAGGGGGCAGCCTTGTGCATCTGGTCAGTTTCGGGAATTCCTGACAAAGTCTTAATGAGTCTCCCTTAGAATTTCCTGAGCCTTAGGGTGCTTCCCTCCGGGATGGAATGCTTTCTACACAAAAGGAGGCCAGGGCAAGAGTAGGGTGTCTTCATCTATTGCTCCCTTACTGCCTCAAGGCAGTGTCGCTCACTGTTTGGAGTATGCTGCCATTCGCGGCCTAACATGTTAATATGTGGGTACTGGGGATCTGAACACGAGTCCTCATGTGTGTCAAGTTATCACTTATCCACAGAGCCGTCTCCCCGGCTCTAAGATTTCTCTGATTTCCTTTGTTCCACTCCGCCCTGACCACCGCTGTTCTCCTTGCAGAGGCCCCCTGCCTGGACAGAGGATTGTGGTCCTTCCTCCTAGACCTCTCTGGACACATCTTCCCATCATCCTCCAGCAGAGATGCGTCAGCTCAAGGGAAAGCCAAAGAAGGAGACGTCCAAGGACAAGAAGGAGCGGAAGCAGGCCATGCAGGAGGCCCGGCAGCAGATCACCACAGTGGTGCTGCCCACCCTGGCCGTGGTGGTGCTCCTGATCGTAGTCTTTGTGTACTTGGCCACGCGCCCCGCAGTCACCGAGTGAGCCGTCGCCTCCTCTCCGGCTTTCCTCTGCAGAGACGCACAGCGCCGAGCCCCGCGCAGGGGTGCCCTGTCTCCTCTGGTCTTTGACTTGACTGAAATTTCTCTACTCGTTTGGGGGAGGGAATCGGGAACATTTTATCAGTGAATGTGCCATACACCTGATGGTCCACTTCATGTGCCTTTCAGACTTCAAAGCAGACGCTTGCGTGCGTGCGTGTGCGTGTGTGAGTGTGGGTGCGTGTGTTCCCCCTGAAATGATGCTTAGCTGCACCCGGGGAGCGTGTGTGTGTGTGTGCGTGTGTGTGCGTGTGTGTGTGTGTGCGCGCGCGCGCACGCGTGTGTGTTCCCCCTGAAATGATGCTTAGCTGCACCCGGGGAGCGTGTGCGTGTGTGTGTGTGTGTGTGTGTGTGCGCGCGCGCGTGCGCGTGTGTGTTCCCCCTGAAATGATGCTTAGCTGCACCCGGGGAGCGTGTGTGTGTGTGTGTGTGCGTGTGTGTGTGTGCGCGCGCGCGCGCGCGCGTGTGTGTTCCCCCTGAAATGATGCTTAGCTGCACCCGGGGAGCACAGGCCTCTCTGGGCGAGCCTGTTGGAATCAGTGCCACCCTCCCTCCTGTTCCTGCAACATGCTTTCCTGCTCCCTCCCGTTCGCTCACAACTTTCTAAGGGGACAGCATTTCTTCTCTGTGCTTGATGGGACTTGAAATATGTTGATTCAAAGTGAGATATTTATTTTTTGAATAAAGGAGATACTAGTCTTAAGCTGGGCATTTGTCTTGTGTTTGTGCCCCTTGCTCGGGCCTTACCTCTCTCTCTGCTTCCCCTCTCCTGGGGCTGTTTCCCACTCCCCTTTCACTTGCTGCTGTCCTACATTTGCAGGAGCATGATGGATTTTGACCGGATGTTTAAAAGGCTAAGAAGGAAGTCTAGAGAGGGACAGAGTGTGTGCTAACTGACCTCTTTTAGCTAAGAGAGAGTTCTCACTGGAGTATGACCACACATGCTCTCTGGCTGGTTAGCATTTCCTGTTGGATGCTGTATTTGCAAATGGCAACACACCCTAACTCCCAGTGGTAAAAGGTCAGGCTAGCTTTTGTTGTTAGCTGATGGATGCCAGCTTTTGGCATTCCAGCTGAGTTTTAAATGCAAATTGGCTGAGCCTCATTGTATTCCGGCAGCAGACTTCCCAGGTCCCGGTGCCTGATGGAGCTGCCTCTTTGGAAGTCAGATCCCTCTTAACTGTTCCTCTGTGTCTCTTCATGCCATCACTGCTGATTACAGAGAGATTTGCAAGGAGGGAAGGGCTTGCTGAGTACCAGTGGTGGCTAATAACTTGCCGACAGCACAGATGGTACTGGATATTTGGAGACTATTGGAGAAAGCCTCTTCAGGAGAGAAAATGAAAGACTCCAGCTCAAGTCTGGAGACGCTAACGTGGGTGAGTGACTTGGTGACACCTCCCACCCCAAGTGCCAGTGACCCTGTGTTTACTAAAACAGTTGTCAAGTGTGGGGTTGACAAGCATGTGAAGATCTCAGTGTGGGGACTCGGGGACTCAGGGAGTCTCAGTGCCTGGTGGTGTGGGAGGGATGGAAGACCACAGCTTCAACCAGGAGTGGGAGGGAGGGCTCCGTAGCCATTCCCTGCTTTCCACAGTGGCACCAGGCTGCTGGCTGTCCCCTCCTCCCGCAGGAGATGTCCTGAAGTCACGGCAAGAGCAGCCTTCCCACCAAAAGAACAAGACCCACCTGTCTCCCGATGGCCTGGTCTGCAGTTAATCCAGCCGTATACAGGGCTGGGTAGCCACACTGGGTAGCCTCGGTTTCTCTGGGAGCAGTTGCTAGAACACTTTAGGGAGATGAGACATCTAGTGGAAAATGAGGCTTTAGAGTGAACCTGAGTTCACGCCAATTGTGCTACTAGAACCTGAGTCCATGTCCTGTGGTCACAGTGACAATGGTTGTTACCCTGTCTCAGGGTGGCTGTAAGGACTGAATTACAGTAGTGCAAAGGGGTCGACCTCATAAATCATAGCCCCCCACCCCACTTGTACTAACACGTTTCTTTTCATGCAGCTGTCTGATGTAGGTGCTCATCTTTATCAAAGAAAAGGCCAGGCAGACCAGGCCACACTGTCACACGGCAGTGTCAGAGGCCGGCAGTCCAGGAAACCTTGTCACACTGCAGTGTCAGGGGCAGGCAGTCCAACGAAACCCTGTCACACTGCAGTGGCAGTGCCCAGGTCTGTTGTTTCCTTGGTTTTTGTTATAGGAGATTTTAGACACAAGTAGGAAGAGAATGGGCGAGGCTCCTGGTGACTGAGGAGTGTGCAGTCATTGACGGGCTTCCAAAGACACCAGCACACAGTGGTGGCATAAAAACCACAGCTCTCACCTTGCAGGGGGTAGGAGATAAGTTTTTTTCTGGAGCCAAATATGAATGACCATGGTCCCAGAACACAGATGTAACTTACCCCAATTATATGTTCCAACATAAGAGTTTTGTGGAGTTTTTATAGTAAGAGAACAAAGAAAGTCATCAATTAAGATATTTTGTAAATACATTGTTGGGATCATCAGGTAGGCAAGTGTAGCAAAGCCTGCTATAAGCCTCAGATATACATGATGACATTTCTAGCCTTTGGGCTTGCGGAAGCTGGGGGCCTCTTCAGACATGTCAAAAAGATGGGTCATGTATAGAGGAGGGCAGTGAATGGCTCTTCAAGGTGCCAAGATAGCCAGAGATAGTTGTCTCAGAGCCAGCAACATGGTAATATCTTTACAAATGTTGAAGTCCTAGTTAGTCAATCCAATTTGTAGAATGTCCCAAATAGGCAGGCAATAATTTCTGTTTCTGGGAACTTCAGTTCGTATCTTCAGTAACTTAGCTGTTGTCTCTGTCAAAAGAATTCACACGAGACCCACAGTGTACTGAAGAGGATGGGAAATGTTTAGTATCAAAGGGACCCTTTCTAGAAGGGATGGTGGGCAATGGCCCATGGACCATTGTACTATAAGCTTCACATTTAGGTAGACTTTCCTGAGGGTTGCTTTCCTGTCCAAGTGATTGGCAGGCTTACTGGAATCAACTCTCCAGAGGGGACAGTGGTATGTTTTCGTTCTTCATAGTATGCCTCCTCTTCAACAATAACAATTTCGGGGGCCTTTCAGATTATCTGACTCGGATCCCATTCTTCTGGCCAGCAATCAGGGTCCTGAAGTTTGAGGTCCCAGTTTAGCAAGCTGGGATTCTGAGGAAGGGGTCCATGCTAATGAACCTCAAGCTACTATCTGACTAGCTACCTACCAGAGTAGGCAAACATTGGAGGACCAGCTCCAGAGGCCACAGTCTCCATTATAATTTCAATGGATTCCCTCAAATCTGCACTGCCTCACCTGGTGATAGAGACTGCAGCATCTTAGATGCTCTTAGTGGATGAGTTCGGTGTCCCCTCCAGGGCCCCCAGTGGGGCATGCTCTTAAACCATCATAGGGTGAAGAGAAGCTTGCCTAGGAAACATCAAGAGAGATGTCTGTCCAGTGGGCTCCTTATGCAAACATTTGGGGGTTCTTTGAGATATAAGATTGTGAGTTATCTTAAAAGCATGAGTTTGGGGCAGCAAAGGTATCTGTGGATCAAACCCACCGTTTGACTGTTCCGCTGAGCAGCCTCAGGCTCCCACAGCTGAGCTCTGAGGCTCCACATTTGCTCATTTTGCCACTGAGATGGTAAGAGGATGAATTGAAACACAAAACCAACAGAGCATCCTACCCAGGACATCCTAGGAGCTCAATAAATGCCTATTTCTGCCCTTGTCGGTGTGTTTAGAACCTCATAGAACACACATGCAGTCCTGCTCCCAGACTTTCCTAGCAACTCAGATGCCAGAATATACATGCGATGCACCCACCACATGCTTTTGAGTCTTGCTTGCCTCTGTGTTTTCCTCTTGTTCTATGGAAGGACATGTGGACTTGAACTACATCTGCAGTCAGGCAGGCTCAGTGAAGGCGGCTGAAAGTGGACCTCTGGGGTTAATACCATCTTGCTGTGGGCCACCTCCTAGCCGGCATAAAATGTCGGTTTACTGTGGATCTGTTGGGTAGAAGCTTACCCCTTCTCAGGGTAGATGGTGCTCTCTCCTGTGGGTAAGTTGATAATGAGCTGAAGCACTGGCTTCTAAGCTATCCCCAGGCACTCAGTGGCTTCATGACGAAATGGAATGATTTATTAGGCATGTCAGAGAGTGGTGCTGGGGTTTCTGCAGTGAAGTATGGGACTCTTGGTGTTGAGTCCTCGTTACTGACCGTGTTCCAGAGTAGAAATCGGGTTGGAACCATCGTGGTGGGTATACATGGTGTCATTTGTTGTGTTTGTTTTAAATCAGTGCTGCTCTATATGTTTGCTTACCCATTCTTTGACCAAGCAAACTCTCAGTGTCCCATTAGTGCAGTTGTTGGGGGTGGGATGCTGAGAATTCAGACCCCGTCTTCTCTCAGTGTGTTATTGGCCAGTGTCTGTGTGGGTATGTCTGGCTATAGATCCTCATATAACCTCTGGCACCCTAGAGATTCTGGACATGGCATCAATAAAGTTCCTGCATGAGTAAAAAGTCGTGCAGAACTCAGGGAACCGGCAGCCCTGAAAATGGAAGCTTCCAGGGAGCCTGCACAGCCTCTCCACCTGCTCCGTGCTGTGTGGCTGCACCAGCTACTTATGAGTCGGCACGGGGGAGAGCGAGGCTCAGTGTGATGAGGTTGCCTCATCTAATTCCCCACTTGGCTAGCTAAAGTGCAATAGGCATGCACCCTTCCCTGCTTCCTGCCAGCAGCCTGGCTCATCTGAGATGCTGACACTTGCTTTGGGTTATTGACGTTAAGCAGATGGTTTCCCCTCTCCACCGCCCCCCCCTCCAGAGGATCTTAAACCATCGGTTACTTGCTAGAGGAGAGAAAGAAGGAAGCGTCTTGGTTATGTCCACCGTCGTGTGTCTGTATCCTCTTCAGCTGTTTGTTGACGATGTCCCATGCGGTATGTCTCCTGCTCTCACCAGGAATTGGTTTCTCTCTGCAGGGGCCATACTGATTCTGTGTTCTCTATGGTATTTGCCACAGACTGCTGTGCAAATATCAGATATGAGATACAGTATCTTCAGATTAAGGGACTACGTGAGAGCTGCCTTCTACGTCCCTCCCAAATGTCTGCAAGAAGGATGGAGATGCTCGGGGGGGGGTTAGGGGTGACTGTCCCTGTGCTCACATATCTGATGTTAGGGAGAGCAAGGGTGCTTGTCTGGCTTGCCATGCCTGTTCTTCCTGGCCTGTTTTCTTCTGATGAGTCTTGGTAATATCTCGTCTTCCACAGCAAACCTCTTTGACATTAGTACATATCAGGCGCTTCCCTGTGTTATTTCTCTGCCTGCCAGTTCTTTCGAAAAGAACAACCTTTTCAAAAAGCCTTTAATCCCTTCTAAGTCATAAGCACTGTGGATTCCAGAGAGCTCCTGAATGCTTGGTAAAACTGGTAAGACTCCAGCTAAGCCTCTAGACTTCCCTTGGCATTTTCCTCCCTGCTGTTTCATAAAAGTTATCTGTCTTTGAACTCTCCCAGCAGAACATTTTTCCCCAACTTTTGAATATTCCTTTTCCAGTACTGGTTACCTGGCTGTTTCAGAAGGCCTGTTACATTCCTGGGATTAGACCTGGGTCTCACGTTACCAGCTGGTTCAGAATGGAATAAATTAAGAAAATCTGCTATGAGAT